AATGCTTATATCTAATGAGCCCAGCAAGCTGTCATTAATAATTATTTCCAATAATATGTATAAATAAAATCAGAAAATATCAATATAAAGGATAGAAACAAAATAGAAAAGGTTATGATTTTCAAAAATGATATAAATTAGTATTGTTTTATAAATTCCAAATTGTATTTATTTTTTAATACGACAAATTTGTATGATAATGTATAACTACATTGCCATAAAAATCAATTTTTAAGAAAAGTACTCAAAAGTCTATCCTACTTAAATAATAACGAGAAACAAAGAATATATACTACAATGGTGCACATCGAGCCATTAAATCAGCAGGTAGTTTGGAAGTTAGGAATTCAAGCTCCTTTCTGCCACCAGATTTTTGTAACCATCTTTTTTCTTCATAATAATCTAACATGTTATTAAATTCCACAGTAGAAAGTTCAGGAACCATCACTGGAATGAATGGATCTATATGTTCAAATCCCTGGAAATATATGATAAAATTATAAGTACACAATAATACATAATATAGCTGAGAAAAACTAAAAAACTAAATTAATAACTGCTTACATACATTACACACCACTGATATATTGGTGACTGGTGGTACAGGTAATGATGTTTTATTTATTTTTAACATGTGTCTAGTTACACATTTCTCAGTAATTTTCGTAAGTGTGAGGACCAGGGATAGGATTTATATGCAATAAAAAATTAAAATAAGCATTATAATGACCAAAATGTGCAAAAACATTTTATTTTATTCCTATATAACATTATATATTTTTTACATACAAATCAGAAACTAATTGAAACCGAAACTAATAATTAGTAATCATTTATTATTTATAATAATAAGCTATTATTACATTGAATATTAAATTATATAATGATGTATTTTCTCCAATTTTCAAATATTAACAAAAAGTGATAGGAACAAATCATGGATTTATATTGAATAAAACTTGTCATAAGAAAACAAAAAATAATGTGTGGATAATTCCATTGGTTGTCCAACTAAAATCAGATATTTGGTAAATAACTCAATAACTATGGTCATTTCTTAAATAAACAAATGTGATTTAAAATTTACACAATTCTCAAAAATCTTAATGTGAAATTATATATACTATGAAATATGCGAAAAAAGTTGTTCTATTTAATCAAGAATGAACCAAATTATGGAAAAATATGACAACCAATCAATTCAAATTAAAGGAAAAAACATTGAAATGCATAGCAATCGAGTCCCAGCACTAATTAAAAACCAATATTGAATAAATACCACTTAATTGAAAATTAGAGACGGCCACTGTAAGTATCATATTTCAACTATTAAATCGGCAGAATATTATTTGAATTATGAACTATTCAATACTCAAATATTATGAAATACTATTGAATAACTTAATGTACTTTGGTAGTTTCTAAACAATCAGAAAGTTTGAATGTAATCATAGGCGGAGATCGGGGGGGGGGGGGGCTTACGGGGACTTAGCCCCCCCCTAAAAAATAAATAATTTGAAGTTAAAGCCCCTCTAAATATTTAAGAAACAAAATGTACTTTTATACAGACTACAGAATGTTTTAGGGATAATTTATTATTATTAATATTAAATAAATACCTAAATTGTAAAAAATAAGAATTTTACATCAAATTTATATGTAAATTTGTTTTTGTTTGGATCCAAAAACTATATTTAATAATTAATAAGGACTAGTATTTCTTACTGTTGTTATTTCACGAGAAACAATAATAACTAGGCTGATGCCTGATATCATAGTGAGCTATTCTGGCTATTATATACATTGAAAAAGATAAAACTAAATCGTTACTTTAAATGACACTATTTTAAATATATTTGAAAAAAAGTGTAATAGGTTAATACAATTAAGTTAAAAATGGCAATTGTATTTTAATCATTTTTCCTTTTTTGTGAGTATTCTAATTAGTAGGTATAATAATGAGAATTTTTAATTATTTTAATGAGTTATTATAAATATAAAAAAAGTGTTAGGGGTGTGAGGGCAAAGCACCCACGGATTTGTTTGCTACCAACTATTTAAGCCCCCCTCAATATTTCAAAGGATCTCCGCCTATGAATGTAATGTGGCTTTTCAATTTGTATAATAGTGCAAATCACTAAATACACAAAATAGTTTATATTTCTTAATGTAATGATTTATCGTTATATTATTATTTATAATCTAAAATCATAAATATAATAGAAATGTGTGTCATTTCTAACTTCTTTTTCAGTACTTTATTTTAATTACAATTCTTTAATTTAATACAATTATTTAAACAACTATACAAAAAAAAAAAAAAAAATAACAAGATACTGTCTTACTTGTCGGCCAATGAGGTAAAGTGGTAAATGAGACTCTCTTCTTGTGTTTAAAGCAGCTCTAGGCGATGTGACCATAACTATTGCACCATTATTCTGGAATAGCAGTATAGCACAATTAATTATTTAACATATTATAATAGCAAATGTATGCTATTGTTTATATTTTATATTCAACATAGTATACATTACCCAATCAGAAAGAACGGCTGATAATCCTGTTTGGACCATAGTGATTTGTTGTGGAGTTACTTTAACCCTGTCTTCTGTTTTCAAGTCGGTTTTCTCATTGAAGAATGCATTAAATCCATCAATTGCCACTAACATTTTGCACCTAAAATTATAATTATTGTAAATTTAAAATCGAATTATATATCTATAATACATGATTATTCAATAAATTATATTAAAAAAATTATTATTTTTTATAAAATAATTTAATTATATGTCCGAGTAACCTACTCGAAGGTATACATTACAAATAAATTTATAATTACAAGTTATATTAAAATTTTTAATTTAGTAATCACTAAAAGTAATAATTTTAAACAGTCCCTCAAATTATGTAATAACTAAAATAATTTGAGAATTAAGATTCAATATTATATTGTCAAACCTTCATATTCAAAAATTCTGTAAAATGATGTAGTATTTATTCACATTGGTTTGGAAGTTATTGAATTATTATGAAAGTAAACATCAGTAAATTAATTAAAAAATTTAATTTAATTGATAATCAACATTTCGTTAACACTTGACAACTAATATATTTTTAATTATGAGCTTACAAGTTTGAAATTAAGATTAATAGCTTTTTTATCTTAACAATGTGTAATGATTTCTGAATAGGAACAGTAAGATTTGTCTGTACCACTGTTGTTTATTTTATTAAATACAATTTCATGATAAGCTATACAACTAATAACTATGTTAAAATAATTTTGTATGAATAAGGTATACCTTGTTAGTTACCTATATAATATATATAATAATAAGTGTTGTTAAAAAATTAAAATCAATTTTAATGAATAATTGATACAAGAAATATGCAATTAAGTCTAATAAAATTTGTTATTTATGTATATTATATTTTGGTCCTCTTTCAAAGTCATTAAGTAGTATTAAGACTTCAATGCATTGAAGGTAGTACTATAATAATACTCTTAATAGTATTTTACCTGGCCAAAAGCTTTATTTCCACAATTTTTTACATTTTGTAAAATTTAAGAAATTTAAATTATATTTAATGATTTATTTTAACTTGTGTAACTATTTTGAATTTTAAAAAATTGAAGTTTCAAGCTCAACTGCTATAATTCTCCATTTAAAATGTGCAATTAATGTGAAATATATTTACCATTAGTCACTATAAGATTTATGAACAGTCAAATTATAATATATTAATAAGATAAGCTTACTTATTATTTGAACAGTGAGCTTTTAACTCATTTAGAAGTATATCCATACAATCACATGCATATTTAGCTCTATTTATGCCATGTGTTACTAATTCATTTAGTGTAGTTCCTTTAGGTGTAGTTTCTCGTTGACTCCAAACATAATCTTGACTTGTAGTAAGCTAATGAAATAAAATAACAATCCATTCATAAAATAATAAAGTTACAACATTTTTTATAAGATAGTTACATTGAGTTCATTTAATAAAGCTCCATTTTGATGTACAAAATGTTTTAACCACTGAGCTGCTATTAATGGTATGTCAGCCATGCCGTTCTTAGAAGATGACCAGTTGACTTCTTTACGATCATATTTAAGCCATACTGGAACTAAAAAAAATTGTTTTATTAGAAAAATGTTGAACATTATAAAATGCAAAATATCAATATAGATACCATAAGGGATGTGATATAAAATGAATTTTGAGCTATAAGCATAATGGAGTATATGAGCAAGGCTGAGTGATTTACCACTACCAGTCTGGCCATCTATAAATTAACATAAGGAAAATATGTTTCAACTATGTATTAAGAGTAAGTTCAAAAATAACAACACAATTTTTAAAGGATACATAGTAAATATCGGACAGCTGGTTTCTGGAAATCGGTGGATTTCAAACTGTTAATAATTTCCAGAGCTGGCTTTCGTATCATCAACGCAGTTTCAGCAAACATATTGGTTTGCTCAGTGAAAGGTTTTGGCAAACCACCAGTATGAAATATATTGCTAACAGTTTTAGGATCTATGGTGTAAAATTTTGATACATCATGACTGTCATGGTCTCCCTAAAAATGGAAAATGAATGAACAGTAATACAAAGGTACAATATACAAGAGGTATGTGAATGTAAAATTTCAAACCGGATTTTTCTTTTCCGTGCGTGCGGCTGTCGGAATCTGATACTGCGTTTCTTGTTTTACTGCCGCTGTAGCATAATTACAAAGTCGTCTGTATGCTCTCATTTTTATTCGTCTTCACAACCACCTTTGTTTAAATGGCATTTAATTACAACAAATTTGAAATTACGATTTATTCAATAAAATGTAATCTCAAAAGAAGCCGGCTTTCTGGTGAATGACTAGAATCTCTGTGTTGTGTTTGATCTTCTTGTGGTTTTTACAATTATGATAATATTGATAACGACAAGAAATGATAATAAATCTGATAAACATAATATTTTTATCAAGGTGGATTCTACTTAATTGGTTTCTATTTTTTTTTGAAATTGTTAATAGAAAAAACGTTAGTGTTCTAAGAAAATTCACTTTCGTGTAACAAACAAATAATATAGTTATTATTAATTCACATTGATTGTAAGAAATCATCATCATGTATATAAAATATGAAAACCATTCTTTCATTGTGAGGAGGATTTGATCATAAGTCATAATCATAAGTTGGCCATCATGGCAAGGATATCAATATTACTCTGCCCCTCCTAATTCCTATATTCTAATTTTTCAAGTATCTGCAGCAGTGATTTTTTTAAACTTTAGTGTTTTTTTGAACGTTTGTTTTAAAACGTTTTTGCTTGTATAATGTATTATTGAATTAATCATGTGAATAACTGTACGTTTTTTTTATTTTCTGTTAGTTATTACTTATTTCACAGACATACACAGTATACACCAAAAATGTAAGTACCAGCTCCTTTCACTAGCGTTAATAACTATATGCTCGATACTTATGTCAATAATAATAATATTATGAATATTAAGAAATTTACACTATTAACAATAAAAAAAAAATATGATAATGTATTATTGAGGTTTTCATTAGTTCATTATTTAATTTTTTTTTAGAAAAAAAAATTATTAATTAAATTAAAAAAACTATCATTGTTGAAAAGTATTTGTGTTTCAGCGACTTTGAAAAATAATAGTATTAATATTTAAGTAGGCATACAAGATTTATTGATACCTAAGCCGATTAGAATTTATGGTATTGTTAAGCGATATACCTACATTTAGGTTGATTAGTATTATAATAAAATACTGTATTCAACTACTTATACAGTTCTTGTAATATTGTAAATGTGGTAGGTTAGGTAGGTACTTAGGTACTTTTAATTTTAAAGAACAAGTTTGTTAATTTTTAGAATTCATTTTCTCAAGACCCAAATAACTATAAAATGTCCTAGTATTTATGGTTCCACTAATATTCATATTTATTCTAAATTATTGAAACAACATTTTCAATTTTTCATTATTTTAAAATTTAAAATTTAAATTTAAATTGTTTACAAATATTTTAATTATATATATTTTATTATTTTATTAGTTTTATATGTATCTAAAATAGTACCTACTTTTTTAATTTCATATGTCAAGATGTACCTACTGTGAAATATTTAACCCCACCTTACAGGATAATAATTAGATTAAAAGTACCAAGTACTATCTATAAATATTATTTTATTTTCCTGTTTATTGCAGGACAATTTCTGTGATACCTAGTCAAAAAAAAAAAACATTAATTTAAGTCAAAAGTTATAATATGTTGAATAATGAATGCTAAAGAACGTGCACGTAATAGATGGAAATTATTGGCAAATACAGTCAGTAAAAAATGTCAAGACCAAATATTTGCTTCACAAATAAGCTATGATCTCTTTAATATTGAATGCATCAATACTGAATGGTCTAAATATTCTTCATGTGTTCAAAACAATAATTTCTCAGCAATTGTATGTCGATCTCCTATAATTGTTACGCCTGAGGAACTTATGGGCTTTAACAATACGGGAAATGTCCGTATATGGCCATCTGAAGAAGTATTAGCTTATTATGTACTATCAAATCTGGATTCGTTCAGAGATAAGACTGTACTTGAGCTGGGCGGTGGTATGAGCTGTTTGGCTGGTATAATGGCTGCTCTATATGGTTTTTGTAGCGATGTTCATTTGACAGATGGAAATCCAAATTCTGTATACAATGTTGAGCGTATACTTGAGAAAAACGTGTTCACAACCAAAGTTACTTGTTCGGTTAGTTATGATGAACATTACCTATTGTTATTAAAGTAATGACACCAATACATGTAGACTTGTTTGTTGTTCTTTAATATCTACATGTATTAATCTGATCTTTTTTCTATTACCTATTATTATTATTATTTCAATTTTTTGTTATTAACCTGATATATTTATACAATTTTTGTAATTATTAGTACCTATTTTAATTTAATGATATTGGATTTGGATTAAATAAATCTAATATATCATTTGTTTTTCTCCTTTTTTTTTTATTTAATTTAATTTTTATACTCACTGTTTGTTTGTGTTAATCAAATACTTAGTTGTAGTGGAACAATCTGAATTCTTTCTCGTTTATAAGCATGCTTTTGAAGACGTTTAGTAGCCTGAAATGAACAAGTCAATATTTGAATTTTCAATTTACTCTGGAACTAATGGTAACATTCGATGATTAGGTGTTGAAATGGGACCAAAGACCTGCAAACATTTGTCATTACGATGTCGTACTTGCCGCTGATTGCCTGTTTTTTGATGAAGCTCGTGACGATTTGGTGCATACTATTGCAGCATCATTATCATTTGGTGGAGTGGCATTGGTTGCAGCACCAAAACGAGGGACTACTCTGTACGAGTTCATAAACATGGCACAGCAAGAGGGTTTGATATGCACTGTACAACAAAACTACAACACTCTGGTATGGGAACGTCATTCCAAACAGGTTCTTTACAATCCATCGTATGATGCTGATTCGCATTATCCATTATTGATAAGTATTACCAAAACGACCAAAATTATTGATTGCCAATTTCAATAAAATTATTAAGAAAAATATATGTACATCGGTATTAAAATATTGGATCTGACAATTCAAAATTGTCAGTAGATAAATACTTGACTTTACTATATTGAAAAAAATCACAACAATGATCAACTTCTGGACATCAATATGTTTTAAATGATGTCTCCAATGGCAGATCTATATGAGAGCATAGTCAGATCAATTACCCACCCCCTTCCTACTGTAGTGAAAAAAATAAGTTTTGAGTTTGACTCTTTCATATTTTAGTTGAACAATACTGTTATTAAGTTAACATTTAGAAATGCGTTGAAAAAATTCCAATACAAAATATAATAATACATAGTATTTTTTTCTCTTATCATACAGTCCTCCCACACAAACAGTGGCTTATAAGTGTTATGATTTTTGATTTTTGTTTGTTAAATAACTATAAAGTCTCCACTACCATTTTCTGGAGTTGGATCCATCCATGGATTTTTGTAGTTATAATCCAATAGTTCCATTTCAGTATTTGTTTATAGATTTTATTACTATTATTTTTTTAAAAATATTATTCCTTAAAACTATTACTTACCTGGCTACCTACACAAAATACAATATACCTTGTAAATTTTAATTTTGAAAACAATTTTTATAGGTATGTCATGCTTTCAATCTGAGTCAAACTGAACCATGTTATATTTAAAATATTGTAGAAAGTTGAAAATGATATTATTTTTTGTTGTGTAGTTCCATTACTTTAATTAAATTTTAAAGATTCCTATCCTAAACATGAATGTTAATATCAAATAGAGTTCCTAGAGCTTACTTACAAAATCTTTTAAACAGGGTGTTGGTTTATTCGAATTTTCTATTAAAACAAATTATATTTAATGTATATGTTATTCTTAAAGTTGCCAATAATTGAAATTTAATTTCTTACTTCATTGTAAATTTTTTTAAAGTATTTATCTCCATTGTTCCTCTACTATAGTTTGTTTTAATTCACACAATTATACCTATTGAATTAGCATATTTATTTTGAATATTATATTGTTTTATTGACTTGGTTTAGTCTTATATGCATGTAATAAATAAATCAAAAATATCAAAAAATATTTATGTATAACAACATAAGTAGGTAATTTAAATGTACACACATTTCTTATACATTTATCACTATATGTTTATTCATTGACACTTAATTGCAATTTAAATAATATTCTCAGGTATAACTAAAGCAAGGGAAGTAATTTAATGGGATTACTTTTGTTTCAAAGAAAATTCTAGTTTATTAAGTTTTAATAATTTGTCACTGTAAGGTAGCTATTATGTAGTATATTGTATTGGTACTTGTCTTGTAGCTACGTACCACAAAACCATTTGTGCTGAAATTAAACATGTGCACTCCATGTGAATTTGTAGCTCAATAAAAAATTCAAAATTACTTTTGTCTGTAAAGAATAAGACTGATAAGTAAACAAAATCAATAAGAGAGTAGACTCGAACAATTGAATTTTAATGGAGACATTAAATTAAGTATGGAATTAAAACACCCAGAGCAATAATTATGTTATATCACCCATTACAAGAAGAATAGTTGCAAAAGTGAATGCATTAAAGTAAAATATGTTAGAAGCTTTCTTAATCGATACAAAAATACCATGTATTAAATAAAATAAAACATCCAATGAGCTTTCAATTTATTGGTATATATTGGGCATAACATGCAACACATTTCAGCAAGTAGCATACAAGGCTAGTACATAGTATTAAAAAAAATATTTATAATTTTGTTATATACTTTATACCAGATGCCTTCACTATTAATTATATTTAAATTTATGTTCCTATTTATTAATATATATATATTTTTTTTTGCTTTATTATAGTAGACTGTGTACTAAATTTTGTAAACATCTTTTAAATTTCTTAATATAGGTAAAATTCCTGTGAATATAATTTTATTATTATAGTAATTATAAACACCAATACATTTAACATATTGAATTTAATCATATACTATAATATTGGGTATATTATACATTTACAAAATATATATTAAAATAATGCTACTGCTATTATAAAACCTAGGGTCCAATCTAGAAATAATTTTAACTTGACATACGTTTTAATATATTAATATTGTATTCTTTAGCTTTATATAATAATATATAAAATATTTAATATGTAGGTATATATTATATATTTATATTATTGTTGTAGATAATTTTAAAAGACAATTATTTTTTACACTGTTACCATTTAATATGTTTATCTAACAATTCTAGTCTTGTTTAGTCATTATTCATATCGTATAGTATTAATTTTCATAATAGAAGTGATTTATTTATTAGATATATTATTATCAATGTATCTGTTAGCTTAGATAATATATTATAAATATGTGATAATTAAAGGAAAAAGTCTATCGTATCTACTTGGTAAATTTGTTCAATACTACCTATACTCAATAAATATCATGACGTACATAATATATTGTTTGTCTCTGTATTACTCGATACTCGACTCATATTTTGCATATTTTAATTTTAGTGAAATTGTATGGATAATGGATGTTCATTCCAATTACTTTTCCATGTTACTCAATGCTATTTTAAATCATGTAATTTTGTAACTTTATTATGTTAATAGGATATGTAAAATGTAATTGATTTAGATTTAAATTTTAAGAAAAAGACACAAATACACAATATTATAGTTACTATTATTTTTTTTCGATTTTGGATTATTTTTAGCTCGTATATAACACAAGTGGTTTATGGGAAAATCATGGTTACTGTTTTATTTAAAATAAATGGTAGTAATCTTTAAAAAAAAATTGAGTAAGTAATCTGCCAATTCGCGTCGAATTCCCAATGATTGACAACAGACCGTGGGTGTGCGGTATGCAGCGTGAATTTCAATGTACTAGAGTTATATTCGGTTACTGTTTTGACATGAGTGTAATATTAATCAAAGGGACAACATCTCCAATCGGCTTTTGTAGTTCGTTGCCATACATCTGTGTTTAAGAATCCATTGCCAAGGATTAAGGTGTACCTACTGTATAGGCCACAGATATACGGTACTACCTTTATGTAATATGTATAATATGCGGTGTCTCCGTGCGTAATAACAGACTATGATATACTTGACCCGTTGATAAGTCTCTATGAAGTTTATATCCGACCGTAAAAATGTACGTGCCACCCAGTGTAAATGCTATTATACATACTCGTATTTTGTTTTCAATTCGAAGTCGCTAAAACAGTAAATATATTTTAACGTGGGTTACAAATGTGCAAATGATACTATGAAATTTTTTTTTAAATATTTAATTTAGCATGTAAGTGCAATAATTCAAGTGTACAACGTTCTTTCTAATCCAAAAAAACGCTTGTATAATATGTTTATGCATACAACTGTATATTATATATTTATATATAGCTGCTTACCATTGATGATCATAATATTAAGCATAATAATAAATATTAATTATTACTTAAGGTCTTTGGTTGATAATAACAAAAAAGTACCATTCTACAGCTACGGGAGGGGGGTCTACCGGTAATCCAACCCTTTCGTTGTGCTACTACTTTATACATACACATTGAGTGAGATTTATATGTGAGAACAGGCAAAGCGTAGCTGGGATAAACATTCTGTAGAAGCTGGGCTAGATGTAGTTTAAAAAAATGAGTGTATATTTTATACAACTTCCCACTTTGTAGAGGGTTGGTCCTTAGCCCCTAGCTTCAACTCGTCTTGTCAATGAGCTGCCTATACAAATGCAGACGTACTTTATGCATGTATATATGACTATTATATTGAACTGAAATCTGAAAATAAAACAAACCTATATATTGACTTGAAATTTTTGAGATGGTTTACACAATCGTCAACTTTTATTTAATTATAGATACGTAGTTGATGTTATAGGTAAATTGCCTTGATTGTCTCAGTGAAAAATCATTCAATATTACATTTTAGATTCTGAGCGAAACGATGAATGTATTGATTTAATAATCATGTGTGGGTTTGTTTTGTCTGTATACACCATAGTTTAGTAGAAAAAATGTTTCTATCTTCCACTTTGTGAGAGCTTCTTCTAATGGAAAATTGTAACTAGTTGTTACTTTTGTGAGATTGAAATTGAACACTCCTAGTATTTTTCAAAATAATCGAGGAAAACAAAAATAATAAAAAATAAAATAAAAACTGGGATTTTACCTCAAAACCAGTTTCCAACAAAATTGATTTTGTTGTGTTGTAAATGTGTGACAATAAGTAACAGTATACTAATAATGTAGTGTAATATAAATAACTTAAAAACAAATAATCGTAGATAGCTGCAAGAATGTCCCCAGAAATTTTTTCAGGGGAGGGGGGCAAAATATTTTCATTTTTCAATCTTAGTTTCAGTATCTGATCAGTCATAAAGTATTGTTTGTGACATGTTTTCTTTCATAAAGGTATACAAGGGAAAATATAAAAATTATTTATGAATTCGATTAGGCTTACAGTCTCCTCTCAGAATTGTTTTCGGATGCAACGATTTATCATTGAATCCAAATTTAACACACTACACATCCGTTTAAGTTACAAACCTACTCAATGACGAGGTACACTATTGTACTACCGATCGGTTACCTAATTTCACCGTTTTTATAATTTATGTATTTATTTTTGATTATTTTTAAAATTACCGAAAAATATATAATATTTACATTTATTGTGAATTATATAAAATATTAAAATCTACTCGAGTGTGATAATGTGTTATTTTCAATTTCTGAAGAGTATAATCAATTATAAGTATAAAATATATAATAAATAATAATATATAGCATAATATCTATTGATTTTTACGTTATTTATTTGTATAGAAAAATCTAAAATACATATTATTTAGATTCCTTAAATCCAGAGTATTTGGATTCCATGTATAGGTATATTCGGATACTCCCATAGTTCCATCCCTGATAAGTAGGTATGGTATGTTTTAGTAATATCATAGATTTATAGTGTATAATATAATATATTATTGTAATAATTTACGCCGTCATCGAGTATGTTGGCGTTACGTCGGCCGTCGCCAGCTATAGGACGAGGCCGACGTACATACGATGCTGGCTATAAATATTAATGGCTATAATAAATATTGTAATTAAAAAGGTCCTACGTTCGCGGGCAGTGGTCAGACATCGGAAGATATTTATGATTATTTGTTTATTTATTTATTTTTTTTATGATTTTTGGCACCGTCGAGAGAAATAGAAACCATTGCGGACGTCCGTTTTTTCTGATATTTTTTTTATGGTTAACTTTTTTACTTTTAGTATAATATTTATAAAGCCAATAGGAAGTGTCACTACTGGGTGGCTCCTTCCAACAACTCATTTCATGTCACTGTATAAATTAACCCATATTCGTATTGTGTCTCGGGGTACAGATTGTATATTTCTTATAGTAAAAAAAAAAGTGTTGTATATACTCGAATTTTGATAGTACGTTAAATCGTACAACTATGAACTACTCTAATAATTAACGAAGTTGTATATTTACCTAGGTTTATCAGTATATGATGCTCCGATATTAATATTATGGCATATTATATCGCGTTGTATACAAAAGATTTTTTTTCATTTGTTTATGTTTATTTTTTTTTAAACTTTATATAGTCCGGACGTATGCTTATAATGTTCTATTAATATTATGTGCCTAAACGGCTTTTCTTGTTTTCTTTTTGGAACGGTCACAAAATGGTTAGTCTCGGAGATTGCCAATCGCCGCGTATTAGACTAGATTCCTTATTTAGATCATCGGTTGTGCCCCCACAGGCTAAATGCCCTCTATTAGCAACGACGTCCGCCAAATCATATGTAGGTATACGTATCGATTGCTAGTCGGCTGCCGGATCGTTAATTTTAGTCAAACGCCTATCCCTTCTTCCCCGCCGGC